GCCCTGCCTGCAGTCCCAGCAATCGGAGAGGCAGCACGGACTCCTGAGCCATTCACAGCCCAAGAGCCATGCTCCATCAGCATCTGCCTCCGAGGGCTGTGCCCGACCGCAAACAGGCTGTCTTCATCACTCCTTGACAGAGAGGAGAGGCAGGAGCACCCTCTGGGCAGACAGCCTGGGCTATGGGCTCAGGAGCTGTGTGACCTCAGGTGAGTCAACTACCCTCTCTGTTTCTCAGTCGCTTCATCTGTAAAGTGGGGATGATAATAAGCCCTGCTTCCCCAGGGGCTGGGAAGGTTAAAGCTACTCTATCGTATCAAGAGCAACACACTCACTAACAGGAGCCCCGTTATCCCTCTCCCTGCTCCCAGCTGGCCTTGACTCTGCCGGGTTATAAAGCTCACCACAGGACAGACAGAGATGACCTGGATCCTGAGGCCAGGGCCCCCTCACTACCCAGATTCACTGCACCCTAAAAGGCAGAGCCTACCCTCCTCCAGCTGGGGGGGAGCAGCGATTACCATCAGATAAAAGACACACACGTCGGAGCAGAAGATTAAAAACAAGTACAATTATCGGGCAGGCATCCATCCATAATTATGAATTTGATGTAATTAGGCACCCCACTAACTTCATTACTTATTTATTTACGGGATTGCTTATTTAATTTACGGGCCTCCTTCCCCGAAAAGTCATCTTAGCTAACACCCCTCGGGCAAGAGGGAAGGAAGAGAAGAAGGCGGCATCCCTCCTGTCCCCCTCCCCATTCCCCGGCTTCCATATGTCACAGTCGGGCCTGGCCCCAAAACAGCTCCCAAGACTTGGCCAGGGAGGACAGGGTCCCAACCAGGGACAGGGCTCGACCAGAAGGCAGAGACACTCCTCGAGGCTTCACCCAAGGAGGCCCTGGAGAAAGGCACCCCTGCACTGGGGAAGCCCTGCAGAGGGGAAGCCCTGGAGAGGAGGCAGCCCACCAGCCACAGGAAACCCAGCCTCAAGGAAGAGTTAGAGGAGAAAGCGCCTCAACGCCCCAGGAAGGACTTAGGCTAAGTCCTCCCACCTCTCCCAACCTGTCTGCTTGTCTGTAAAGAGGGGTGAAGGACCCCGCACTAGCTGCCCTCAAAAGCCCACAGGCCTCTGCCCAGCCAGCCAAGTGGCCTCAGCCCATGAAATAAGGCAAGAAAAGTGTAAGAAAGACCCCCGGCTGAGCCCAGCAGCCAGGACAGCCCAACAGAGAACACAGCGCCTACCACAATGGTGGATCAGCAGGACACAGAGAGGGCTCCAGACCCTGCCGCGGGGACAAAGGGGCCAGACACGGGCACACACCTTAAGGCCGCTGCATCACGGACTCCAGATGGTTTCAGAATCTCCACGACTGCAGTCAGGAGTCAGCGGGAGACAGCTCTTTGGGGGTGACAGAAACATTGCTTGGATGTGGCCGCTGCGACATGAACCTTCCCCATTATCAAAGCACCTGAAACTGCACCCCTGAATGGGATACTCTTACTACGGGCTCGTGACACCACAATGGGGCTGATTTTATTTGAGTGTCCGTATTCGTGCCAGGAACTCGAGGGACAGGTAGAGGCTCCGTCCCCGCTCCAGTCAGGTATGCCAGCTCCTGAGCCACCCTCCCCAGCCAGAGCCTCTGACTATGGGCCCTGGACAAGGCGGGTCGGGAGGATCCCAGATGGGTCCCTTCCTTGCTGGACTGTTCGGTCAAGTCACTTCACCTATCTGCCCATCGCCAGCCACGGAGGTGCAGCTATACCCGCGCCCTGCTCGGAGAGTTTCGGTAGAGTAAAATGAGCCTCAGCAAAAGTACCAGCTGCAGGCCCTGGGCATACAGCAGGGGCCTCATACTGCTGCCTCAAAGTGATGAACAGTAAGCACCAGACCCAGTGGGTCTGATGAGGCTTCCTGTCCTGGAGACACACCAGCTCCCCACCACAAAGGCCGTGAGCTCCCAAGGCACTTAACTGAAGCCTGCTGTCCAAGACAGGACAGCAACTCAGCTGCACTCCCCCAGGGGGCTGAGACAAAAAGATGGGGCCCTGTAGGGAGGGCAGAGCCCCAAGGCAAGCAAGCAGAGCTGGGGGGCCTTCTCGGGACTGGAGCTGAGCCCCCCGAGAACATATCCTGGTGGAGAAGGGTGTCTCTGGCCAGCACGCACACACTCACCAGGCCAGGACAAGGGTCACACCCCCTCCCCCGGCCTGTCCGTTTATGAAAGAGAAGAGATCATAATAAAAGGACAAGAGAGAAGGAGCTGGAGACCAGGGGGCAGACTCTGCCGGTCATGCGCCAGCCCCAGGCGGCTCCTGCGAGCTGTGAGTGATGGCGCGGCAGGCAGACGGCCCTGGAGCGCGGAGGGCGTCCCCCGGGCCCGATTACAGGGCCAGCCACAGGCAGACACGCTCAGCTGTCAGCCTCGTCCTCCCAGCCCGCCATCAGAGGCACCATTAATTGCTGTCATTTGAGGGTGGCCTGTGGGGACAAGGAGGGGGGTTGTGGGAAGGGGAGGGGAAGGAGGAGGAGGGAAGAGGAGAAGGGAAGGGAGGGGAAGGGAGAGGGGTAGCATGCCAGGGGCTGAGCATCCTGAGCTGCAAAACCATGGGAAGCCACCTTCACCTACCTCCTCCAGCCACCGGAGGCCCAGGACCCTGGCACGCAGGGCGCAGCCAGCAAGGCCCCTGCCCACAGCAGGCCAACGAGAGCGCAGGGAGGTGGGGTTCTGCCAGCCAGTCTCTTGACCTCCCCACCCACCCCCCCACCTCCACCGGCAGTTGGTCCTGACAGCTCCCCAGATGCAGAAAGCCTGGCTGCCCAGTCTTGCCACACACATCCGAGCCTTTTTCCTGACCTATACCAGGCAGTGCCCCTCCTAGGACGCCACTCCCACCGCAGAGCCAAACCCCCACCCAAAGCAGCTCCCCCCAAGGACTTCACAGCGCTGGACTCTGGAGCAGGGCCCCGGCTCACAAGTCACACAGCCACCCTGTGCCTCGGTTTCCACATGCACAGGACGGTGAGTGTCCACCTGGTGGGGGTGCTGATGGTCAAAGAGAAGCCCTCCGCGCTCAGCAGGGGCCTCAGCGAGGTCAGTGCTGACTGCCCTGGGGATCTGGCCCTGTGACCTGCCTACGCCCCCTCTTATTGTTCGTCTTTCTCAGAAATGCCTGGTCCTCCCCAAACCCCCACCTCCAGCCCCACCAGACCTCCCGGGCAGGAGGGTCTCAGAAAGGCCCCCCAGTCCCCAGCCAGCAGCCGTGCAGCTAGTGTCCATGCCAGCATCTCTGTCTTTGGGGAGGGGTCTTAGGCACCCCTGTCCCAGCAGCCCCCCTGCCGGTCCCCCACCCACCCCTGGGAAGGCCTTGTTTTGGTGCTCAGGAGCCGCAAGGGGCCCGCCAGGAGGCCCCTGGGAGCACTGGGCACACTGGGCAGGGGAGGGGCCCCTCTGCCTCTCCCCCGTCTGTCTGCCTCCCTCCTCCCTCAGACATGATGGATCGCCCCAGAGGAGGAAGCTAAGTGCTCGCAGACAAAAAGCCCTTTTATCGTCCTCGGGTGGGCCACTGGCATGACGAGCAGATAACTCAGCCACGGAGGAAGCCTCCCCATTAGGCCCACGATGTGGATTGATGGAGGACAGAGAGGCAGAGGGGGCGGTGAAGGGAGACACCCAAACAGGGCCGCTTTCCTTTCAACTTCAAAGGCACCAAGGCCAGAAGGAAGCCCAGCTGGGCAGATCACCTTGCAGAGACTGCCACCCACGTTCCCATGGCCCTCCATCTCCGGGTCAAAATGGGCTGCTGGCTGCCAGGGAGCCCCCATTCAGGAAGGCAGGAACCTGCAGTGCTGCTCTTCCCTCCTTCCTCCTCAGGGCCCCAGAGCTCAAGAGCAAAGGAGAGGCCTCTGGAGTACTCGCCCCAAGCGATCCCCACAGACCCAGCAGAACAAGCGGTCAGGTCTGCAGCCTCAGGGCCTTTGCATGAGCTCTTTCCACTGCTTGGGACACCTGCATGCTCCCCGCCCCTGGAAGATACCTGCCCAAGTGCCACCTTCTCGGGGAGCCTACCCTGACAGCCATCACCCACAACCCCCGAGCCCCTTCTCCTTCCCAGAGTTCTTCCCATCAAATGGCAAAACACCCTCCTCACCCAGGTGGACAGACACTGCTTTCTCCTACCCCAGCCCTCTCAACGGCACCAGAACACGGACAACGGTGAACCAATGCAGTGCTGAACGCCTGCCATGTGCCATGGACCTCAACCACCATGCAGTATGCCAGCTTGGCAAATGAGGAAACTGAGGCACAGGTATCTGGGTTCCCTGGGATCCTCCTCACCCAGGTTCTCAGGAGGCCTGGCCACACAAAGGACCCCTGACCCAGAGTGCCCATCTAAGGCCTCCCAGGGCTGGCCCTCTCACATCTCTCAGCCTCAGTTTACTACGCTGCAAAATGGGGCTGCATGTGTGACCCTCCAGGGATTGCCACCTTATACCAGCTAGCCCAGGAGGGTGGGTAGTTGACAACAGAGGCTGGGGACCACCCCAAAGAAGGGAAAACGCAGGTCCCAACCTACATGGAGTGAGGGTGAGGAGGGCCTCAGTGAGCAGCTTCTCTGGCCCTCTGGAGGAAACTAGGCTGGCTGACACTCCTCCCTGCCTGACCAGGGAAGAGCAGCCCGGACAGGAAGTGGTAGAGGGGGGCGGCTGGACATGTGCTCACTGCCTGCTAAGCGCTGACAACTGGCGGCTGAGCCACACGCCTAGGACACAGCACCTGTGACCGTGGGCACGGAGGGGCTGGGGCTCACCACGTCTCTGGACCCCCTCCCCCCACTCCAGGAGGTGATCAGTTAGTCTGGAGCCAAGTCTTCCACCGCACCCCCAGGTGGAATCCTACTGCCCCGGCAGCTCCTAACCCACTTCCTACACCATTCCCAGCAACCCGAGTCCCCACAAATCAGAGAGGAGACCAACGTCTGTGGACCTACCAGAGATGGCCGCCAGCACCTCGCGTCGTCCAAGACTGGGGAGGCGACCTGCAGGAAAAGACACGGGCCTCGTTAGTAGACATCGCAGGCTCCCCACAGGCGGGACGCCCACGCCCTCACCCTGCGTCCATGTGCAGGCAATCTGCTCCCGGCGATTGACACCGGACAGTGAGCAGAAGATGCCAGCATGAGCATTCAGGGCTTTATGCATAAAGCCAGACAGAAGCCAGACAACCCAGCTCCCCATGAACAGATAAAGGGTGAGGCCCTGGCAGCCACCAGCAGGGCCGCACAGCCCTGGGGGAAGCAGCAGGGCTCAGGCCCTCAGCAGCAACAGCCCATCCAGGCCTCTATACAGGACCAGGTCCTGGGACTACACCCACACGCAACACCCCACAGCGCCTCAGTAAGTTAGCCAGCTGATCCCCAAGTTACCGTAGCAGGCAATGAACGGCATGAGGTGGGGTCAAGGAGGTCAAGCAGGGTCTCCCCAGGAGGTGGCACTGGAGCCCAGGGCCCAAGGGCAAGGAGCAGCAGGCCTGCAGAGCAAGGGAGAAAGGCGCTCTGGGAAGAAGGCCCAGCAGAGGCAAAGGCCTGGAGGCGGAACCAGCTGAACTGCAAGCAGCTGGCAAGGGGTGGCAGAGGGAGCAGGGGTTGGTTCCATTTCCTGGGCAAGGCCATGCTAGGATCAGTGTGAGGCAATGCCAGTGAGGACAATCCCTGAGGGCCCCACGGAGGCAGTGACCTCTGCCCCAGGCCCTGCTCGGAACCCCGCCTGCTTGCAAATCTCTCCTAGGGTCAGAAGCCAAGAAGGCAAGCTCTGAGAGGCCATCTCCAGTCCCTCCGGCCTTTCCCACAGGTCACCCCAGACCAGGGCGCCCTGACCCTGCTGGCCCTCGAGGCCTGCCAAGGCCAGGCCTGTGCCTCCACTGGCTCCCCAGGCAGGCTAATAAAAGCGCCAGTCCCCCTCCCCCAGGCCCCACCCCTACCTCGGCACCAGCTGGAGTCAGCCTCCCAGCCCCCAGTCCAGCACCTCCAGGCCTCCAGGCACACAGCCACAGGGAGGCACGAATGCACTGGTGAGAAGGAGATGGGGTATAGACAGAGCACCCACAGTGCCTGCAGATGAGGGGCAGCAGGGATCAGAGCCCGGCTGGGCTACTCATCTCATGCCTGTTGCGGTCGGTGGCAGTGGTGCCCCCAGCGGGGGGTGGGTGACAGTTAAATGAACATAGAACATGGCTCAGAACAGCACCCAGCAGTGTGGATACTCAGCAGTCAACACACCACACATATCCCCACCAAAGTTCCAAGAGAATTGGGGAAACAGGGAGACTAAAGCATGGAGGGCCAATCCTGAGTCTCAACTGGAAGCACATCAAAAAAAGGATGGAATTAGACCCTCCACCATCCTCCCAGGGACCCCAGCAAATCCTATCCATCAAACTCATTTCACAGCCAAGCAAATGGAGGCCCAAGTCAGACAGGTCTGTGCCCACAACTTGTCTGTGAGCAGGTGACAGCACGTTGTCTCTCCAGAACTCCTACACATCCTTCCAAGCCCAGACCTACCATGCCCTTTCCCTCAACCCCCATGAAAAGCCTTGCCTGACAATCCAGGCATACCCTGGCCCTCACTGCCACCCCACCCAAAAGCTCCACCTGGCCACCCCAACAGATTCTGGCCAAAAGCACAGTGGGACAGAAGCAAAGTCGAGGTTCAGAGCAGGGAAGGCTGGATAAAGAGCACAGCCCAGCACCCAGCAAGCCAACATTACAAGGTCTGAGGTGAGGGAGCCTGGCACAGTGGGCCCTTCCAGCTCATCATAGCCAGTGCTCAGCACACAGTAGGTGCATCACAGGACCCAGGCACAGCAGGGTAAGAACCACAGCAGGCAGTGAAGGAGGTCCGGACCCGCCTGCTGCCTTTCATCCAATCCCACCCCACACCCATTCTAGCAGCCCCATGCACTCTCATCCCCACAGAAGTCCCACCCACACTTATAAGCCCATCATACCCCACCTCCAGGTAGCCCTCATTCCTGCCAACTCAACGACTTCCAACCTGCCTGTAGCCAACAGTGGTCAGAGATGAGCTCTGGCTGCTTGGTGCCAGCCAGGTCTCAGGCCTGATGAGGAAACTGAGGCTCAAGGAGGCACTTGCTGGACTGGGAGGGAACCCCAGGAGCCCACCTGCTCAGCGCGTGCACTTAACCCCTGCACTGTAGTGGGGCCAGGGCGCACTGCAGCCAAACCTCCCCTGGGGCACAGGCCACCTGTTCCTACCTCCCCAGGGGGGTGGACTTGGGCTCCACGTACCTAGGCAGTCTCTGACAGGCGGGGTCTGCGTGCATCCCTCCCCAGGAGGGCAGAGGCCAGTACCACAATATCCCTGCCAGCAGCTGCCCGCTCAGGGTTTCCTGCTCAGGGAAACCCGGGGCAGGCTAGGTCCAGGCCCCCCGCCAGGCCCCTAGGCTCCGGGCCATCTCCCCCAGCTCAAGACCTGCAGCCCCGCCTTCCTGGCGCCAGCCCTCTCCAGGGGCACAGGAAAGTCTTAGCCATCACCTGGGGCCCTGGGTCCACTGTGACACCCACTGTTCAGGGCCTCCACATGGCCACCACAGCCAGGGGTGCACTCTGGGCTCAGCCAAGATACCCAGGTACCCACAGGGGACAACAGGCTCCGCAGAAGCTGTAAACCAGACACTGGGGATCCCAAGATGCCGGCTCCAGCCTTAAGGGGCAGACAGGTGCGACCTTGGGAGCCATTCCTGCAGCTGGACCTAGGCTTCAGGCACAAGGCCACGAGACACCCTGCTGGACACACCTCCACACCAGGTGAGCAGGGAGCCTCCCAGGCCATATACTGGGGAGTACGCAGCAGGGGAAGGCAGGCAGCTCCAGGGCCCTTCCAGTGAGAAGCCATGGGAATATTTTATTTTCCTTCTCCAGTGACAGCTGAGGCGGCCTCTTCTTTAAGCTGCGGGAGGTGATCACAGAGAGTTCACCAGGCTCCAATTCCCTCTGGCAGGCAGCGGAGGCCGGAGGCCATGTGGGGCTGGGGCAGCCAGGGCAGCAAAGCCAGGGCTGGAGGCAGACAGAGCCTGGGAGGACCCAGAGGGGAAGGGGAGGCCAGGCCCACACGGGGGCACATCTCCCCTGCACAGGCTGATACAGCCGTCGTGTTAGAGGATACAGTCACGCTCGAGGGGGCCCAAACTCTAACCAGGGGGAACACAAGGTGGATGGGAGAAGTGAGGAGTCTTGCTCTCAAGTCCATCTGTCTGGGCTGCCAAGAGAGGCCCGCGGGGATAACTGGGAGGGCGCAGGTGTACTGCAGGGGCCCAGGAACCAGCAAGAGTGACACCTCTGCGCCAGACTCACTGTGCCGGGCAGCGAGGGGGCACTGTCCTTTACCCCATGGCTCAGCAGCTGCCCGTGATCACAGCTGGTGGGGGGGGGGACGTAGTAACTAGAACCTGGCGCCCACTCTGGGCCACGCCAACCCCTACACCCCAAAATGTGTTTCTCAGAAACCTCCCACCCAGCTCCTGGCTGGGGTGTGGGGCCATCTGCAGAGACAGAGCAATTAGGCGCCAGGAAGGAGCGGATATCGACCGCTCTGGAGGAAGGGGGGTGGTGAGGGCTCCGCCGGCAGGTCGGCAGCCTGGCTCCCGGCCAGATCCAGGCCGTGGCAGGCGGGCAGTGCAGACATGCCGGGCAGGCCTGCGGAGGCCAGAGACAGCCACACGGCGCAGAGAGGCCATCTGTCCATCCACCTGTCAGCCCACCCCGACGGCCATAGGCCCTGGCATGCGCCCTCCAGGTTTCCCTGTACCAGAAACTGAGCTAAGCCCTTTATGCTTGTTAACCGGTTTCGTTCTTACAACTTCCCTTTATCCAGATTGCAAGGACCCTCTTTGAGAACCCCCCACCCCCTGCTGCCAGGGTGCAGGAGAGGCCAGAGAGTTTGCCCACATCTGATGAGGATGGTGTCAGTGTTACTCTGGGGAGAAATATACGGCCCAGCACATGGCAGGTGCTCAGTTTAAGCTCATCATTCGGGTTTACTGGCCCACCTCCCTGGGCACCCGAGTCCAACCCCACTCAGATGTCAGTAGTCAGGCCCCACTGGAGGGCAAAGGGACTTCGCCCTGAACCCAGCCCTGTCCAATCTCCGAGACAAGACCTGATGGGAGACAGACCCACCAGGCTGTTCCAGGACAGCTTTCAGCCACCCAGCTGGGGAGATGGTTGTCACGGAGCCCAGAAACACCCAACCCTGCCCCCAGATTTCCCACCTCAGACCCTGCAGAAAAGGGCACCAGACTCTGCAGAAAAGGGCACCAGTCCCCAAGGCGAGTCTCCACCATCATTTTTCAGCACTGTGTCCACACCAAATCCCACATTGCGTCTCCCAGGACATGTGGCCCCTCCCGCAGTCACTGTGTGATGCAAGAGTTACCAATGCCCCCCCCAACACACACACACAAATACACACACTCACACAGAGGCGGAACAGCCAGCGGGGGGCCTCCAAGGGGTTGCATGCATGTCCCCTGGGAGCACGAGCTGGCTGGGCAGACGCAGCAGTCTCTGGGCAGGCGGCACTGAGTCATAGCTTGAAACTCAGCGGAAACTGAAAATGGCCCAGGCGGCCCCCCATGCTCCCCTGAGTGAACCACGCTGATTCACAGCACGGCCTGTGTTGGAAAATTCCTGTTTCTGGGGAGGGGGATGGGAAACACACTCCTGGTCACGCTCTGAGTCCCTACACCCCAGGGTCCCTCAGGGTCCCCCCTCCCTGGCAGCCACAGCAGGGGTGTTCATGGCTGAAGGATGGGCAGGATGGAGGCCCCCAGCCCCCAGCACAGGCTTCCACAGGCTGTGGCTTCACCTCTGGCTGGCTTCACCTCTGGTGACCTCAGGATTGAGGCTGAGAGCAGCTTCAAGTCTGGGCCCCCCTCTTTCTAGCTGCGTGACCCCAGGCCCCACCGGCTGCTTCCCATCTGAGCAACTTCCTCACCTGAGAATGGAAACTTTTGCAG